GAAATGAAATGTTTCCTGTTGTCAACCAATACGCTATTGTATTGTTGAATATAAAATTAAGCGATATATTCCAACAATATTTTTTTTTTGGTAAAAACACTTAATAAATAAAATTAGATATGCTGAAATCTATAACTTCTTTTCTGTCCTAACAAATCGATAAAACAACTTTTATGAAAATCTTCACAAGTGAGAATCATTCTCTTCAAGACCTCATTTCTATTTTTATTTATAATTGAAGATTCTGCAAGTTTCGATAAAGTCGATATTCATGGACCGAAGAAATAAAAAAAAGGGGCGGCGGAGCAAGTGTCTCTCTTAAACACGAGCATAAAATGACACCCTAAAAATCAAATAATTATTTTCATTGATGCTTTAGATTTAAGTATGAAATTTAAAATGAATAAGTTGTAAGCTAATATAATGAATTAAGTTTGTAACATTCCACATGAAAGAATTATTTTTAAAAAAATTAACAGGATTTAATCACCATCAAGACTTGAATTCAAAATTAAAGATGGTTGCACGAATATTACGGCGATATTTACGACAACCATTGCTACATACACCGTGTAAATATTCAACTTCAAAACCACGTCTTTTCAGCAAGTAATCGCGAGTGCGCTGTGGGGAAAAGGATAACGTCATCAAAAAGTAACAAATGTAATGCTACTATTACGTCACAGAAGGCGCGATAGGCAAAGAGTTAAAGCATCACCATATTTTGAAATAGTCTCGGATGAGATAAAATGTTCCTTATATCTTCTCTTCTACATTTAACACATAAATATTAGTAAAGTACAATGTTTTAGATGTTTATAACTTTGAAATAAAAAAAAACATTTTTGTTGGTTTTTTTGTTTGTTTATAAACTTATGCCCCCCCCCCCCCCCCCCCCCCCCCCGTGAAACACAATAAACTTAAGCATGAGTTTGTGAAATGGCAGTCCAATAACCTGTATGATTTTTTGTTGTTTTATGGAGGGGGGTATATTTTTATTTGTTTTTCATTGATAAAAACGCAAGTTTTACCAAAACCATAGATTTATCTCTTTCTGTTTTCCGAAATAATTGATTTTTTTTAATGAAAATTCATATCAGTATTGAAAATATTAAAAATTATTGGAATATATAAACGATTTTGAATTCTCATACAAAGTATGATAATGAGAGATTTGGTACTAAATCATTTGAAGAACTTGCAAACATTTTAATATCCAAATTCCATCTTTAAATTCAAAAGGTATCACGTCACATGTCAAAAGATAAAAAGAATGAACAGTGATCAATCATAAAATAAATTACATAAAAAAATCTGACAAATCTCTAAATAAATACACTGATGCTTAAAGAACTGCAAGCGTTCCATGTGTCTGTAAATAAAAGTACATAAAAATTGTCGTACTTGAAACTTTACATTTAACTAGACATCTGATCTAACCTTTTAAGATTTCAAAGATTTTTGGTCTTGACTTATTCTTGTTTTGTATACTGGACTTTATAAGGTTGATCACTGTTTTTATGTAAGTGTTATCAATTTTAACCGTTTTAATACATTACATGAACAGCAATCAAAACGAGATGTTGCACTGTGATTATGTTTATTATACAATCAAATAAACCCTGAATCAATACCAGATTCTGTGAAAAATTTAAAATACATTTGCTGAATTCGATAACGCAGATTACAGCAGATTTTTTTGTCATAATAAAATCAGATAAATACTATATATCAATTAGGACATAAAATAATAGATATTGACACAGGTCACTGAGTTATATCTCTTGAATTTAAATACAAATGATATTACTCTTTACATATCCACGTTTTTTATTATAGTGGATAATAACTTTTTAGCAATAATACATGTGCATATAGTTGCATACCAAAGTATAGGTATGAATCCATCTCTAAATATATGTGTCTAAGTAAAAATGTATATAATGTTATGGAATATCAGCAAATCATAAATAACATTCATACACTATTTGTGTCATAAAAACATTCATTACAAAGTTAAAAATCAAAGTAGTTCATCAGTTTTCGACAAATTAAAATAATTTAATGAATTCTCTCATATGCCTCTTTCATAGAGTTAATATAAAAGTATTAAAAAATAAGAGTTTAAAAAAAAACAACTTTCTGTCAGTGGTCTTATTAAATTTTTCAAAATTACTAATTGCAACTATATACATTGACTGGTCCTGGGCTACATAGGTAGTAAGTAGCTGCACACACAGGACAAATGGGGTCAAGGGTTTTGGTGGGAAAATATTGACAAATGGCTATGTTTACTTATGTATTTATTCCGTTTAGGAGTCAAGTTTTAAGTTTAGAGCTCTAGAGATTTCTAGACTTTAATTATAGTAAGTTGTTCCAAAATAACTTTATTTACATGGATAATGTTTAAATAAAACATATTTATTTAAAATCAAGTTTATCATTTAAAACTACTTCAAAACCTGGCATCTGAAAGAACATTTCTTAAAATTAAAATCAATATAAAAACAACATTATCACATAAGTATTAGGAAAGAGTTTCATCATGAATTTTTCTCAGCATTTCTGTCATGAAAATACAGAATTGATGAGGATTTAAGAAGGTCCCTAATGGCGCCGTTCTCTCAGAATATGAATCAGGTCTATATCACCTTGTTCAGCGGCAATGTCTATCACTGATTTACCTTGATTATCTTTTACTGCTAACAAGTCTGGATAATTCGTTGATAAATACCTACAAACATCATGTTTACTATTCAGACAAGCAACATGTAGTACACTTTCACCAACATTTGACAATGCATTGATGTCTAATCCTTTGTTTAATAGAAAAGATACTATGTCTAAACTTCCCCCACTGCAAGCTGAATGTAACGCTGTCCATCCTTTATTGTCTCTTATCTTCATCAACTCTGAAAAGTGATTGACCAAATACTCACACATCTCTATTTTACCAGAACAACAACAGTGATGTAAAATTGATTCACCTTTTTCCTGTAGGGCATTGATGTCAATCTTTTTCTCAATCAATAGTTTTACTATTTGAACATTGCCTCCCCAGGCTGCAGCATGCAACACTGAGTTACTAAATTCGTCTTTGACGTTTAATAGATGGGGACAATTCTCAACTAAGTACTCACAAACTTCAAACTTCCCATTGAGACATGCTATATGCAAGATAGATTTACCATAATTTGACAAGGTATTAATGTCCATTCCTTTTTCAATAAGAAAGGAAACAATTTCAACAATTCCTCCCCCGCAAGCTGAATGTAACACTGTCCTCCCCTTAGTGTCCTTTAACTTCAATAAATCTGGAAAATGATTGACCAAATGTTCACACATCTCCATTTTACCAGAACGACAGCACAGATGTAAAATTGTTTCACCATTTTCCCGTTTTGCACTGACGTCCATCTTTTTCTCAATCAATAGTTTTGCTATTTGAACATTGCCTCCGAAGGCTGCGTCATGCAACACTTTGTTACTAGATTTGTCTTTCATCGCTAATAGATGGGGATAATTCTCAATTAAGTACTCACAAATTTCAAACTTCCCATTTAGACAAGCTATATGCAAGATAGTTTTACCATCATTCGACAAGGCATTGTTGTCTAATCCTTTATTAAGTAGAAAAATCACAATTTCTACACTTCCTCCCCAGCAGGCAGAATGTAAAACTGTCCATCCTCTATTGTCCCTTATCCCCAAAAAATCTGGAAAATGGTTGACCAAATACTCACACATCCTCATTTTACCAGAACGACAACATTGATGTAAAATTGTTTCACCATCTTCCTGTCGGGAAAAGATGTTCATTTTCTTCTCAATCAGTAATTTTACTTTTTTAACATTTCCTTCTCGGGCTGCATCATGCAACACTGTATTACTACATTTGTCTCTGGCATCTAAAAGTTGGGGATAATTCTCAACTAAGTATTTATAAACTTCAAACTTTCCATTGAGACAGGCTCTATGGAGAATATTTTTCCCATTATTTGACAAAGCATTGGTATCTAATCCTTTATTGAGTAGAAAAGACACAATTTCTACACTTCCTCCGCTGCAAGCTGAATGTAACACTGTCCACCCCTCAGTGTCCTTTATCTCCAATAACTCTGGAAAATGATTGACCAAATACTCACACATCTCCATTTTACCAGAGCGACAACATTGATGTAAAATTGTTTCACCATCTTCCTGTATTGTATTGACATCCATCTTTTTCTCAATCAGTAGTTTTACTATTTGAACATTACTTCTCCAGGCTGCAGCATGTAACACTGTGTTACTAGATTTGTCCTTGACCTCTAATAGATGGGGATAATTATTAACTAAGTACTCACAAACTTCAATCTTTCCATTGAGACAAGCTATATGCAAGATAGTTTTACCACCATTTGACAAGGCATTGAAATCCATCCCTTTCTCTATAAGAAAAGAGACAATTACCACACTTCCCTCACAGCAAGCTGAATGTAACACTGTCAATCCGTCATTGTCCCTTATCTCCAATAAATCTGGAAAATGATTAGCCAAATACTCACACATCTCCATTTCACCAAAAAGACAGCACTGATGTAAAGAACAAGGGGCGTTTTGGCCGTTTAAATGCCGCGTGTTGAAATTTACTTTTAATTTTCGAGGAGGAAAGCCAAAACAATTTCCTTTCAGATGATATATATCAGTATATGTTTATTTTTTAAATATTATTAAAAAAATTGCCTGGAAATGCCGTTGTTTGGAACTTAACGTCGCCATTTTAGCGTTGACGTTATACACGTCAATTGTAAAGGTGCTGTGATAAATCCATACACATATCAGTATAACACAATTCGTATCGTTTTAATCAATGTAAAATAAAAAGAGGGAAAAACATAATTATAAATAGAAAATAATTTTCTTTAATGATCATTAATTATCATCTTTAATAATCATTAATTAATAATAATTTGAGCAATTTTTGATCGAATATGTAACACAGACCATTCATCCATTCATTCATAATTTCAAACACCAACAAGTATTACGCTGCTGTAAAAGAAGCATAAGGACGATCTATATATCGTGAAAATAATCATATACATGTCCTAAGTATTTTAGGTATTTCAGTTGGAAATTTCTTTCAATGATAAATAATATCGATAAATGTGAAATATATCACTGCCAGAAAATAAATGTAACTAGCTTATGTAGACAATCTATTCTTCAGTTGAGCTCTCCTCGCCGCTGTCAGAATCGTCGATCACGCGAGCTGCGTCCTCGAGGTGTTCTGACCAATCACGCACTAACTGCACGGGCTTATCCTGGTGTCGGGCATGCGATAAAAACCAAATTACGCTTGTTATATGTCCGCAGCAACCAACAATGCGTGCGCCGGCTTTACACTTACAGTACCATGATATGACAACACCATCTTCGTACTTTACCCAACAGGAGTACTTTTTGGAACTGACATGACGACTCTGAATTTTGGCTCCAATAATACCATCCAGGTCCTCGTTCACAAGAATTTCGTATGTACCGTCATCCTGTAGGTGTTCCTGAGTGTATGCTTTTGCCATTTTTACTTGGTACACTCCTAGCGTTAACTGGCGAATTTCGGAATCAGTCAGGTTAGGGAAGTCTTGCGCAAAACCGGCTGCGTCAATTTTTTGCCATGAATATGTCCTGTTTGACAGTCCATTACTTTCTACAAATTCCTGTAGCTCGTTTGTCCGCTTGGAGAGATGCAGCATTTTTAGGGCCATGGCCTGATCCTCTTCCGCATTGCCAGAACTTAAGACGGAAGTAAATCTGTTGCAGAGGGCACACACGATTCTTACGTAGTCGCCAATGAAGGGAATCTGTGTATTTGGTATGACATGATTCAGATATTTCCATCTCTTCAACCTCGCATTGGCTGATTCGACAACCCACCGCACCTTTAAAATTGATTTGAATTTAATTATTTAAACAAAGCACCCATTTTTATAATGATGTAAAATATTTCATAAATACTAGAAGACAAGTACAATGTACAAATGTACAGGAAATTAAATGTAAAATTATAGTAATAATAGTTAAAATACCTTGGTTATTAAGCGTGATTGGTTAGCTTCCTGTGTGGTGTGTTGAGATGTGCCCCTCTGCAAAAAGCAAGGCATTTCCATGTTGACACCAATGTCGCCAAGCACCTCCGAACTATCCCGGAATCCACGATCTACGATGAACGTGTCACCATCCTGTAGCCAGTCTCGCATTTCTTCTGTGTTGTTCCGGATCATGTGGTTTAAGATTCCGGCATCGTTGTTCTTCGAGTCGGCAAGGTACGGCCCCAGGACAGATACCACATATCCTGACGTAGTTACTACCATCATCGGTTTCACTAATGGCCTGTGTTTGTGCATACTGAAGGAGCGCCTTGAAAATCTGAAGTTACATGATTTCTGTATATAAATGTACGTCCCGTCAAGAACAAGTAGGACAGGTGGGTCTTGTTCATAACCAGGAGAAAAAAGCTCTTTAGCCAGTGGTCTAGTGTGGTTAGATTTTACGTCTTCTCTAGTGAGATGGCCAAATCCAAGATTCTGAGGGACAAAATCTTTTAATAATGCCCTCCGTGCAGACGATATAGCACGACGAATCTAAAATTCAAAGTAAGAGCATTTATAAACTTATTACTTGTAATTGATTTCTTATTGATTTC